AGCAGGGCTGCGCTGAATCTGTTGTCCTCTTGTGGAGTTTAAGTTCGCTTAAAGCTTTTGAATTGTTGCTTTTAACAAGTACTCTTGCACAGGATCAAAAAGTATGTTTTTTTTTTTCAGTTGCTGTTATCTAGTAACAATTGTGCGATTTTACTGAAACCAGTTGCAATGACTTCTGGAGAATTTGGTGAACCTCGTCTGATTCATTCGCCAGGTTTCATACAGCTTTGTGTTGACAAGTCTGAGGGACCTTCTGAATGGGTATGCTTTATGGTTGCCGTAATTCCATTCCTTGGCAATTTAAAGTGGTTTATAACTAGTATGAATTCTTGTTTGCCATCAGATTCTTTCTTTGCTCTACTGTTCTCGAGCCTTTTGGGGTTGCTGTTCTTATTTTTTTTCTGATGCCATCTCAATGTACCATTCAGAAGTTTCACTGAAAGCATGTTGAATATAATTTTTCAAGATAGATAGAAACGATGCTTCATTCAATTGTATTGTTAGGGGTTAAGGAATATTATAGTGAGGGAGGGTTTTTGACGGCTTGAGGTAATCTACAAACTTCAATTAGTAATGTTTCTGAACTAATTTCCATGGAAGTGATACAAAGAAAGATTACTGGAACGGTCAAGAAATTTACCACCATGTTGTCTCTACGTTATTGGTGTATTTAGAGATAGTAAAAGTTAAATAAAGAACAGAAACAGGCAGAGTGGTCAGCGTCCAGTAAAGTTTATTGTTTTATCACCGGTAGATGCTTGCTTGAACTGTAAGATAAAAATTTTTAAAGTTACTTTTAGGGGTTTTTATCAGCGTCGAACGATGGTGACGTTTGGTTTTGGGGCAAGGAGTGTTTGGATGATGTTGATTATACGCCTAAAAGCTTAGGTGGCAGAACTCATAGTGCGATTGCCTGGCATGTGAGTTTGGTCCTTGAAATTTTTGCATCTAATGCCATGCATAAAATGACTTGTGCTTGGTTTACTGCTATGCTTTTGCTCGTAGTTGAGGGAGCTGTAGAATAATTGTTTTTTCGGCATAAATTTTATGGCCTAGGCGGTTTTTTTGAACCTGTCTTCAATTCTGAATTTTATCTATCTTTTGATTTTGGTGAAAAAAAAGAACATTTGAGGGTACAAACGTTTATGTGGGCCATACACATACGGATTTTAAAACGGGCATTGAGAAACCTGTTGTTTCAAAAATGGAAACAGAAGACTTTACACTGTCATCTCCTATCACTTCATTTTCTCTTGATTTAACTGCAGTTGATATCTCAGCTTCGGGCTCAATTTTAGTTGCTGGTGCGATGTAAGTTTCATGATTAGTAGTTTTAACTTTTTGAACAGTAGTCTGGGATTCTGCTTAATGGTTATCTTGTCAAGTTTTGGATAAGTGGAGAAAAATTTATTTCTTGTTTTAGTCATTGGTTTCACAGATTTAATTTTAAGAGTATGTTAGAAAGAGATCAGCTCAATATTATTCACCTTGTAAAGATGTCCTTGTAGGTTTCACTCAGTAGCTTTTAGAGATCATATTGTTAAAGTAGTGCACTTTGAAGAAGATAAGGTGTCGAAATTGGAAATGAATGGACAAGTGCTCTCAGTACTAGTAGATCCCAAAGAAGAATTTTTTGCGGTTAGTGTATCAGACGGCAAAATTTATCTATTTCATTTACCTATTGAAAGTGGCGCCTCACCTTTCTACTCAACACGCTTGTGTTCGCGCATTGCGGATATTGAGTAAGTTAAGAACTACCCCTTAACATCAGTTTTTAAAAATCTTTCATGGATTGTTTCATTAAAACTTATTATTATTAAAATGTTAGACAACATCTCCCTTCATGTTTTTATTTGATGCTTTATAGGAGACTTATATAAGGTAGGCAGCTTAAATGAAGTAATTATTGAAATTTGAAAACAAAATAAATATTTTATTCTGGAATAAATTAACGTTAAAATAGCTGCTGAGCCGCTTTCTTACTTTTGTAGATGTTAACATTTTTATCAAAAGCTGATTGGGTTTTTGTTGTTCCTGAGTTTTGGAAGTTTGATGGGATTATGCTAGGAGTTATTATAGTTCTGAATAAGAAGTTTTCAGTGTTTCTCAGCCGCGATTGCAGTTGAGCTGGACCTCTGACGGCGAATTTCTTTTTGCTCCGTCTTTGGGTGGCGTTAAAAAGTTCAAACGAGGTTTTTCTGGCACTGAGACGCTTTTGACATCAGAGACGCTGAGTACTGTAAGTAAAAAAATGCGCATTCTAGTCGCTAAATTAGGCTCAAATTAATCGGTAATTTTTCAGGAGGTTTTCAGCATTTGTTGCGTGTCACCCTGCGACAAGTATGTCGCTGCATCTTCTCTTTCCGGTCTAATAGTAGTGTGGGCGATCGGTAACAGTACTTTAAGTACCGTAAGCAGATATATTAGGGACGGGAAACCAAAAATTATCTGCTCTTTAATTTGGCATAAATATTTGGATGATACGATTGTTTTTGCTGATGTTGAAGTAAGCCTTGTGTGAGTAAGTTTGATATTGGTGGGGTAAGTAAATGTTCTTATGAAGGGAACTACGTTTTATTGGAAAGTTGCAGTTGCTTATTCTTTTACATTTTTGAGAGGTACTGATACTTTCATAAACAAATAGTACTATAAGTTTCGGCTTTTAAGTGCAAAATCAGCACTAGGTATTTTTAACAGTTGACTAACGATGGCTGTTAAATATAAAATCAGCTAATTGGTGATTACTAGTTGTCAGCAGATAATACTGATTTACAACTAAATTTGTTGGGTCTTTATAAGTCTCTGATAAAACTTACGTTAATTTTAGGAACATTTATGCTCATTAAACAAGTGTGTTTCCAAGATTTTGACGAGAACGGAGGAAAGACGACCCACTGTTGGTAGTACAGAGGATGAGGAGACGAGATGTATGGCAGCTGTTAATTAAAGCTCTTAGGCTGTTTCCCTCTTTTTTCCTCAGTTTATTATTTCTGTTCATGATGGGTCTTTTAAGGTAATTAAGGTCTGTATTGTATTTTAGTATCTGCTGATGTTGGCGCAATTAAAAAAGCCTACGGATTTAACGAAGATGGGACATTCAATGAAGATTTTAATTTCCCGCGTAATGAAGGCATCAAACTGCGTGATGAACTGTCTGAAGCTAAGATACAGTCATATAAGCTGCCGAAATTGCCGCTGTCATTTGTTTCTGGAGCTACCCCTTTGGGTATATCAGAACGGTACTTGGTATGTTGGAAACTGCTTCAGTTTAAGGTTATATCTAATGTGTGCGTGTTTTCTACTCCTCAAAGTCATTCCGTGGGGCTGAATTTTTTATCTTGTGTATTAATGACTTCTTCGGTCACATCCATTCAAATCATCAATTATTTTTCTTTCATACCGCAGGTTGTTGATTTATCTATTAAAGGCTTAACCTTTATCAGTTATGAGCTTCGTTCTAGTTATTTTTTCCTACATGTATTCCTTGATGGTTCATTCAGAGGTGGAATCGGTTTGGTATGATTGTCGGGACCGTTCTTGACAACGAAAATTCTCTTGAAGTTTGTTCTTTGTATTGTCTCTTTTCTGCTTAATATTAAATTTTCGAGGTTATATAATGGCCCATATATATATATA